ATCTTCACCACTCTTCATCTTCTCGCTGCTTCACTCTGATCCGGTCGAATACGTTCACTAGAGATTCTAAGAGTACAGCATTGATAACATTCGGTTGCAAGTCAAACTGTAACCTTAGATCTCTAAAACTTTCTACCAAACTCAACTCTCGGACCATCATGGAGGAGACGGGAACTAATTTTCTGCTTAAAGCATCTCCACCACATTTGCTTTCCCGGATGGTAGAGTAGTTCAAAAGTCGTTCTTCAAAGAACCCAGCCAACGTCTCTGTCTCATATTCAGCTCCTTCTAATCAAACAGGTACTTGGGACTCTTGTGATCAATGAATACTTGAATGTCGATCCATACAAGTAATGTCTCCAGATTTTCAAAGCAAAGACGACTGGCGCTAATTCCAGTCGTGAGTTGGGTAGTTTTTCTCATGAACCTTCAGTGTCGAGAGCATACGCAACCACCCTCTTTCTTGCATGAGTACACAACCCAAACCCTGATGAGACGCGTCACAATATACTTCGACAAGGTTTAGCGTGTAGGATGACTAATTACGGGGCACTTGTTAACTTCTCCTTCAAGTGAAAACTTCCTCACACGATCGGTCAAGACGAACGGTTGATCTTTGCGTCAGCTGAGTAACGGAGCTACTATTTTGCGAAATCCTTTCAATGAACGTCTATAGTATCCTCGCAGTCCCACAAAACTGCGAACTCTAGTAACTCGAGCGTGGACTCTCCCATTCCACACTGCTCGCACTTTAGCCGGATCCACTGAGATTCTCAGCTGAAACCACGTGCCCAAGAACGGCACTTTCCTTCATCCAGAATTCACATTTAGAGAATTGGCATATACTCCTTTTCCTCTTACACGCCTAGAGACGATCCTCAAGTGATCCTCATGCTCTTCATAGCTTTGAGTAGACAAGAATATCATCAATGAAGACGACTACGAACTTGTCTAGATACGGTCTGAAGATACGATTCATGTAGTCCATAAATATTGCTGGGGCGTTTGTTACACCGAACGGCATGTACTACATACTCGTAGTGTCCTATACGAGATCGGAAGGCTGTCTTCGGATGTCTTCTTCCTTCACCCGAATCTGATGATATCCCGACCGTAAATCAATCTTTGAGAATATGGTCGCGCCATGTATTGATCCAGAGGTCGTCTAATCCGAGGCAAAGGATACTTGTTCTTGATAGTCAGCTTGTTTAACTGCCTGTAATCAATGCAGAGACGAGAACTGCCATCCTTCTTCTTCACTAAGAGTACCGGCGCTCCCCAAGGTGATGCGCTTGGTCTGATAAACTGCTTTCATTAACTCTTCAATCTGCTTCCTTGAGTTCAGCTAATCTGCTGGCGACATCCGATAGGGTGCAATAGAGATAGGTCCAGCATTCGACACTAGTCGATAGTAAATTCACCTCGCGTGGGGAGGTAATCCGGCACTTCATCAGGAAATACATCAGGAATTCATCCACGACTGATCGTCCTCCATTCAGTTTACTGGACGATCGCTCATGATTCAATCTTCAATCGTTCGTCCGAATGCGTCATGATCAAAAGCACTGGCGCCATCCACGATGTCTTCTTAGCTGACCGAGCGTCACTGATAGACTCTACTTCATACTCGTCCGGGAAACACCAATTCCTTTGCACCACAATCTATGAGAATGCGATTGGTAGCACCAATCCATTCCTAAGATTACTTCAAGATCTTTCAAGGGTAGACAGATGAGATTTACCTTATAATTACGCCCCTCAACCTCTATAGGACATTTAACACATACAGTAGACGTCCTAACCTCACCGCCGCTGGGTTGATACTACCAGTCGAACTGCATCTCGCTTCGGCTATACCCAATTTTCGACGCACGCCTTCGAAATGAAGGATGTGTGCCCCCGAATCATACAACACACAAGGCTTCCATGTAATAAACAGTACGGTGATGAGCGTACCTGACACTGGCAGCTTCGGCGCTGTTATGCGATAACCACGACCAACGCTTGTGCTCTGTCCACCCCGTTCCTGTTGCATCTCTCCGGCATTTGGCGGCCTCATTACGCGCTCGTCCGCCCATATTACACTCGGCTCTGACCATTCTTCACAGCGAAGGTGCAAGTATTTACTCCCTCCAACATGAGGACACGACGATCTGTAGTGTGGTCCTCCACACTTGAAAACACTGACTGATCCTGCTGTCCAGACTGTCCGGCAACAACCATAGCTGAGAATTAGATGGTTGTGCTGGACGAGCATACGGCAACCTGTCCCGATTCATATTCGGCCTGGACATGATCGGCCCTTAGCTGGTTGTTGCTGCTTCTTCGTAGTTCTGCTTCAGCCACATTTCTCTCCAACACTTTTGCTCTCTCAATCATAAGGAACAGAAAGGACTTAATGACAGAGGCTGGATATCAATACCTTAAGTCACTTCTCAGTCCATTTTCAAACTTCCTGCACTGCCACACTCACTGGTGGCAAGGGTATTAAAGCGAACCAGATGTTTGAACTTGTTGGTGTACTCTGAAACAGACATATTACCTTGTACCAACTGGAGAAATTCCACCTCTTTGCCGAAACGAACACTATCCGGGAAATACTCCTCATAAAACTTTTCCTTGAAGACTTCCAGGAAATAGGGCTGTGAGATTCTGTTAGTAACATCTTCGCAGTCGACCACCAATGACTGGCCTCTCCAGTCAACAGATACTCAGTGAATGCCAGTCTTCGATCGTTCTGGACATCCTTGGCATCGTAAATCTGTTCCATGTCCCTGTATCCACTGATCAGCTCCGTCAGGAAGGCACTTCCCATCAAATTTGCAGGACGATGCTGCAAAAATGTTCTCCAAACTCCACTCAGTCTGAGGATAGCGTTTGAAGCAGACGCCCCAGGCGTTACCCCTAGTGGTCGCAATGATCTCCATCAACTGTCTCTGGGTCCTTCAGAATTTGCGCGAGCGGCCCAAACTCTGTAAGGCAGCTGCTTTTGCTGCATCAAAACATCGTTCTCTCTTGTAGCCTTTCGATCACTGATCCAACAACCTGGTGTTGTTGGGCGCATCATGTTCATGGTCTGTGGAGGAGGAGGAAGTCTTGGTGCCATTTGTTCTCTGAGAAACAGAGAAAACGGTCATTAATTAAGTTCAAAGAGTCTGAAAAACTCAATAAAGAACTTTAGCACACAGCAGAACAGCAGGTGTACTCAAACCTACAATGTCTTAAAAAACAAAATGCTCTGATACCACTAATGTGACATCCCAAAAATACAGTATAAACCATAAAATCAGGAAAATCACATTTAATAATAATCCAAACAGTTTTTCCACTAGAAAATCAAAAAAAAAAAACCAAACGAACGCTCAAGGACGAACGTCCTTGGTACAAATCTTACAGCAATAAGGACGAATGCGCCAAAAGCCGAACGTCCATACATAAAGGTTACAAATTTAAACGAACGGTACATGAATCTTGACCGAACGGCTTACAAAGGGAATACCGAACGGTCGTAATCTTAAAATGCAAACATAAGGTGGTCGAACGACCACTGAATCCAACTACTACACTACCAGCCGAGCGTCTCACTGCTGTCTTCACTTCGACTTCAACAAGCTCTCTTCATTCAGCGCACTCTTCCAAACGCTCGTTCTCCTTCTGCTCACATCCACACGGATGATCATTGCAATGACAAGACGGACGTACAAGGACAATGGACAACACAAGGAAAACAAAGGGTAAGCTTACGTAATTTAACTCATGCATCAACATACAATTCCAGGTAAACAGTTCAAATACTTGCATATCTCAACATATAACATTCATTACAAACAACCACTTTAACGTATTCACTAAATTAAAACTCAACACGACTGACTGTCCGGACTGTATGAACTCTGTGTAGCTTCGGTGTTCGTGCACCGGGTGATGTAGTAACTGGAACTCTCATCAGCTGCCACCCGAGAGGTTACTATCTGTCCAAAAAATCAGGACTAGGACCGCCGTTCCCACACATGATGTAACCCCTCTACTGTGAGGACGAGTACTCACGGAACATCAGGATGAACAACCGGCTAAGCTTACCACATTCATACATTACAAATCTCAATAATCAAGTTCTGAGTCGTTCCTCCTTGGAACGCTCTTTCATAAATCAACTTTCCATTCATCTCATGTAATCTTCATCCTTTACTATTTGTCATTTTACTATTCATCATTTACTGTTCATCATAAACTATTCCTCATTTAAATACCGAACGTTCCATCAAAAGGGGGAGAAGCTGAGAAAGAGTCCGGACGAAGCTTAAAACGAGACCAACAGAAACGTTCGTCGGATCAAAGACCGAACGCTAAAAGCGAGACCAAAAGACGCTCGTTCGTAACGACAGACCGAACGCTAAAATCTGCAGAAAATTCCAATAGTACTGTTCATTGGACGAACACTCAGCATAAGGCCGAGCCTTACTTTGAGCGAGCGCTCGGTTTAAGACCGAGCCTCATTTATAGCAAACGCACGGTATGAGACCATCCGTCACTTTGAGCGTACGTTCGGTGTAAGACCGAACGCTTTCCACAACGATCGTCCGGTGTGAGACAGAACGTTCAATAACTTAAATAACAGATTGAAAAAAACTAAAGCATATTTGGAGAAGTAATACGGACGGGAACATGCACTGTTACACATAATTATACAAGTACAAAAGAGAGAAATTTATCAAAAGTATCAGATTCAACCAGTCAAGACCGAACGCTCAAACAGAGCGTTCTGGGATGAGGACGTTCGTCCACAGCCAGGGATTTTTCAGGTTGGAAAAAAAAAAAGAAAAAAAAATTATATATATATATATATATATATATATATATATATATATGTATATAAATATAACAAAGCAATGTGCATCCATAAAAATAGTTTTTAAAATTTGTAACAATTTTAACATTTAGAAAAATCAATTTGTAGAAGATATTGGAGAACTGGAATTTATTCTGAGAAAAAAAATGGAACAAATATTAAAAACATCTACAATGGAAACGACCTTGCTGGAAGACGATGTCGTCGTGTACTAGTTGTTCATTTTCTTCTTCCCTTCTCCTGGTGAATCCTCCGCCGAGAGCTTCCCGCAACGACATCCGTCGAAGCCTAAGGATGTCACTCAACAACGACAACAACAATTCAAACTTCACATCTTCATCGCTGCTCAATTCAGTCACAAAATTGCTGTGGGGACAGTCTCTTCCGCCGGGAATCCTCGTCGCCTCGGTGCGCACGGCCTGGAACTCCGCGTGGGGGCTCATGATGTCCCAGCTCGCTCCCTCCGACTCCTCCGGCGGGTATTCGAGGCCCGCATCCAAATTCCGAATCTTGGGTTCTCTTTCTCCGGGCACCCTCCACCTGTACGTGGGCCTGGCGTGCCCGTGGGCCCACCGGACTCTGATAGTGCGGGCATTGAAGGGGTTGGAAGAGGCGGTGCCCGTGTCGGTTGCGTCGCCGGGGATGGACGGGTCGTGGGAGTTCAAAGGGGTGGGCGGGGCTCATTTGGGTTCGATTGGGCCAAGTTTGGATAAGGCGAACGGTTGCAGAACGTTGAAGGAAGTTTATGGGCTTGGTAGAGGTGGGTATGATGGGAGATCGACGGTGCCAATGTTGTGGGATAAAGGTTTGAAGAACGTTGTGTGCAACGAGAGTTACGATATTATTCAGTTGTTTAACTCCGGGTTGAATGGCGTGGCAGGGAAGCCCGAGTTGGATCTATCGCCACCTGAATTGAAGGAAGAGATTGAGGAATGGTATCGAATCATATATCCGAATGTGAATAACGGGGTTTATAGGTGAGTGGGGAATTTGGAATTGAGAGTTGAAATGATAATTGTTAGTGGTGTCTTGAAATGATAATTGTTGGATTTGCTTGCAGGTGTGGGTTTGCGCAGAGCCAAGAAGCGTATGATAGATCGGTGAATGAATTGTTTTGTACACTTGACAGGTTGGAGGATCACTTGGCCAATTCCCGCTACTTGTGTGGAGATCAATTCACCCTTGTGGATGTTTGTCTGTTTACCACTCTCATTCGCTTTGATCTTGCGTATAATGTTTTGTTTAAATGCACCAAGAAGAAGCTATCTGAGTATGCCAATCTTCATGCCTACATGCGTGACATTTATCAGGTGCATGCTCTTTCTAAACATTTTACATTTTGGTTCTGTAATGTTAATTGTAATATCCTATCCTTCTGAATAACCGTTGACAGATTCCCAAGGTGGCAGCTACTTGCAATTTTACAGAAATTATGGATGGTTACTACAAAACCCTTTTTCCTTTGAACCCAGGGAGCATCAGACCGGTCATGCCTTCTACTTCTGACCACCAATTCCTTTACAAGCCTCATGGAAGAGAATCGCTGTCATCAGCTACACCAGCCATCTTTTTGTATTAGTTAAACAACATACATGTTTCTTTCCATTACTGCAAGTGTATAGCACTTCTACAGTTACATGAATCATTCAGTTTATAGTTGTTTCATCTCCACTTTTCTATGTCCCTGGTCGAAACTCACGTAAAACCTCTGCTATTTTCTACTGTACCCGAATACAGTAAGAACATCCCATATATAGCAATGTCAAATGCTAGGTGTACAGTACTTTAATGAGAACAGAAATAAAGTACTGTAACAAAATAGTATCAATAATAACTTCAAACAAAAACCATACAATTCTAATAAATTTCATAACATGAAATTCCAACCAAAGTACGTTAATATTAATAAGAGATATCAAAGCCGATAATTGTGCAAACTACATATTCATCTTCATTTTGGTTTTTCTAAATTTGCATGATAATTGTGCAAACTACACGAATGCCGATAATAATTTTCAACCATCTATACAAAAAGCCTAACATCCACTAACCAAAAAACAAAAGCAACCACTTGTAATACAACTCGGCAAAGCACGGTGAGATATCAAAATCGGTTCGACGGAGAAAGGACTTATCATCATCCGGAAATTGACGCAGATCTGCTGGATCCTAAAAAAAAAAAAAGTGAAATTCATTACCAACATTACAAGTAACAAAAAACAATGAAAGCTCGTATCAAACACACACCTCAAATATTTGAATAAAGAATATATGTCGCCACATAAAGCCCCCCACGCTGATAGTTTTCTACCACCAACATGCATCAAATTAACTCATCATTATGCCCATATTTATCATGTTTTACTTATTCACCACAACAAATACATGACCCCTCATACATGAGTTCTGCATAATGCACGAATCAAACTATTGTTTATATTTGAAATCAGCAATATAGTCCAGCAGCACAAAGTTGCTCAAACAAAAAGTTGTCGTCACAAACAGAAAAGTCCGATGAGAAATAGATTCATGCTCCTTAAAAAGATAGGTAGCCAAGTTCCTAACAAATTATTGTTTTAACTTTTAATCACATTAATGAGAATTGAGTTCAATCTTCCACAGTTCGGGTATGTCCGGTGTATCAAAAGCTCAAATCTATTCTAAAATCCCAGTTTGTTCATATGTGATTTAATCAGTACCTGTACCACATCCGTGCTAAGAATAAGATTAGAATATCCAAGTGATAAAATAAGACAAAGCAGAAAATAAGGTATGTGTACAGTAAGGAAAGCCACCAAGTTGCCTCATGACTTTCAATAAAGCAGCGTAAGTAAATTTAAAATTTTATTTTGGTACGTAATTGTGCAGTTTAATTACAACTAACAGCTGCAAAAATCATTATGTTGTGAAAGCAGAAAACAACCTGAAAATTCTTCAATTAAAGATGTTTGTTACATGTCTTTGTTTCATTCCTGAGAATAGTGAGGATGGGAATAAGTATTCTCACTATTGGTAAAAGTTAGGGAAATATATTCTGGGATATCTTTATTACCAGCAAAACCCACCATCATGAAAATGATCTGGTATCTCTCATATTGCCCCAGATATGAAAGTCATTGTCCACAATAACTACTTATTCCCACTGAATTCTTCTAGTTTTCCTTTTATTTTTCAATTTTTAACAAAAATAATTTTAACTTTTATCTTAAATTATTGAATTCCAACAAAACATGTTAATGGGAACATCATTCTTGGGTATAATATTACAGAGGATATGATTCCTAAGAGTACAAAATCATATCAGGAAACAAAACTAGCCCCAGATTTTCAGAACTATTAATATAGTTCAATATTAAATGACCCCAATCAGATACAGATTGCCAAAAGAAGAATAGCAACTATCCAATAGAACCCCAGAACAAAACAGAATATGAGCTCTATATTTTACAATTATCATTATAGGCTGGGCATATGACGCTGAAAAATGAAATAGACTATACAAAAGAAATATTGCAACAAATTAGTGAGAATAAGATGGGAATTGTCAATGCGAAAATAAAAGATGAAAGACCACACTTTGAGTTGGAAATTGCAAAGAAATTCGCAGATGAGTGACCGAATAGCTGCAGAATGAACTTACTGTTTGACCTCTTTAAATGCCTGCATAATTTACTGCCACAACTGCACTGGAACAGCTTGATATGATGATCATGATCATCAAAGTCAATGCCATAATCCTGCAGTAACACAATAGGCTTTACAGTAAAAATTTGATTCCAGGATTAATATTAAATGGTTTTGCATTAAGTGAACTCCAGAAAATGAGAAGACAAGTCAGTACAAGTTACAACCATTCTCAATGGACTTACAACTACCCAATTAATTTAATAGCCATAAACAACTATCAAATAATTTCTGCAATGAATAAATCAAATTATCTTGACTTTGATAGTCATTGCCACCATCATGCTTCCTAGTTAAAAAGGGAAATTAATATGCATTACAAAGAATTGAAGATGTTTATATTACACTAACAAGCTTGCTCACCCATGTTAACTCCTCAAGTGCTGCTAATATTCTGGAAGTAAAAAAAGCAAACTGCACATTTTAACACAAAATCATCAATAAGAAAAATATTCAATAGTCCACCAAGGAAAAAAAAAGCTACTAAAAGATTTAATAACTTCTCACATGGTAGTAATAATGACCAGGATCCTCAACTTCAACTGGGATCTCAACCAAGTTTGCATCAAAACATCTGGAAAAAAGAAGTATAATTAAACTTTCTAAATTTTCAATTTCCAAATAATGTGCCAAATGTCTGCTTAGACACTCTTTAATGAAAGTTAAAACTACAAGTATCAAACTATCTCCATAAACAATCAGCCATCTGAATCATTCCAATGGAAAACGGTATAGTTTATTCCCATGCAATTGTTAAGTTCTCTACTCTGTACTTGGATTACATTATTTGATCACCCTAACCTAATTCTGTTTGAGCTTTTTCTATTGCAATTTTATCTACACAGAAATATTTCTTATTCATAACCGTGTTTTGAAAAAGGTTTTCTCCTTGGATAATTAGGAGAGCATGTCTAACAAAGGAAGTGAACTACATGCATTAAAGTGGAACTCAAGTTACTTATCTTGTTCATGTAAACCATAAATGATTAAATTTGACATGTACCTGAAAGTGAACTAAATGCAACAAAATGAAACGCAGGTTATTTGTCTTGTTTATATAAATCATAAATAATTACCAAATTTGATGAAATTTTACTGATAATGGTTTTATTTGCTTCTTAGGTTGTAAGGTTGAAAGCCAACCACCCACAACAATTGTCTTATTATGATTAGGTTGCATCTTCATTTAATGAAGTATCAGATTTCAAAAATGAATGTAAATATATTTGCCCATACAAATTATACATCGAACAATATAAATGAATATTTATCTTTAGTTTTTGCCAACATTAATAAACAACGTAATCATGTAATGTCAATAGAAATGTAGTATTAAGAAATTTTAGTGAGAAAAAACTGACATTTTCATAGACATGTTATAAAGGGGAAAGCTAATCTGCTTAAAACATGGTTACCAAAGTTAGAGCAGTAGGGTTTCAACATTTGAGGCCCGTAATTGGCTCAATATACTTTTGTCCACTTGGCTATTCCTGAAACTTGAAGACAAATTTATAATAGGTGAGAAATTCAATACCTGTGATTGATAAACCTAGCAATGTTGCCAAACGAAGCTGAATCCAAGCATAGAGCTTCTTCGTTCTTCATAGATCCTGAATCCCAATTTGCATCCAGTAGAACTGGGTATGTATGGTTCCCTTTTCCAGTACATTTCATGTTCCTCTCATGCAACTCTTTAATAGATAAAATTTCTCCAACAAACTCACATACAAATGCACCTTTAGGCAGGTCCTCTAAGGTACGAAGACCCCATCCTTTACCTTCTGAAGTGAAAAACACCTATGTTCCAGAGATTTATTAGATAAAATAATTTCACAACACCCACTATAGATATAAATTAAGAAAATAAATTGTTCATCGACAAGGAAGAAAAAACCATTTGTTTACAAGTGAAAATATTACTTAAACACCCACCTGCAATTTGCAAGTTATTCCTCGCTGGATAATCCGATTTCCACACTGTTTCCCACAGCCACATTTGCTCCAGCATTCTTTAATAAACTTCCTCTTTAAGTGTCCTTTACAAGGTTCTAAACCACCATCATTCTTAGATCTTTCAAGTGGGCAAATTTTGCAATAAAAGAAATGGTTTTGTGGATTGCGACTAGTGGCAATGCACTCTTCCAAAAATTCTTCCCTCAGTAGGCCTTGAGAACTATAAGCAAATTCACCACCAGTTTTATTTGCACAAGCACAAGGTGACAAGACACAATTGCCCATACAAGTTGAACAACAGTCCTCACTGCCAATACGTGACAGAGAAATGTTAACATAAGCATCTTGGAACACAAGGTTTTGGGGTATGTAGTTAAAGGATGCTGGGAAATCGTTAGTATATTCATTCACCCAAGGAATTTCAACATTTTCTTCTCCTTTTGTGAGGTCATTAGCATTATAAAAAGACCTTACATCATCAGATGTCAGCTGATGCTGTGGAACAATCACTAAACTATGTGAATTTGGAGATATAGAATCTTCCAGCTCCTTATTTGCATTACATTGCGAAAAATCATTTGTTTTTTGGTCCATCTTGGAAACCAAGACAGCATCATTCAGACCAATCAGGTCAGCACGAGGAAGGAAACTATGGGGAGAAACCAATGCAGCAGAAGGATTAACATTGATTGATCCATTTGAAACATGAGAAAGGGTGTCCAATTCTTTGTTTCTTTCCACACTCAGTGTGTCAGGTTCTTGTGATTCCTTCGACATATGAACATTGGATGTCCCTATAGAACCTTCTTCTGGATCATTATTAGAATTGTTTCTGAGTTCCAACATGCAATTGCATACATCCATCAACAGTTTCATAACAGAGAAATTTGGGTCAGCAATTTTATATGAACGCAGGCATTTCGCCTCCATCATTTCTATGAGTTCATCTCGACTAGGCATGTGAAAATTTGATCCCCAAAGTGCTGAGCTGCAGCTCAAAGAAAGTTTTACCTCTCCAAGAGT